TGTACTACGCAGCATTTCGTTCCCTCCTACTATATGGATGTGAAACATTCGTAGGTTATTAGTATTCGACTAAAGATGTCTTCAAAGCCTTGCTCGTGTATTCTGGGACAACCAAGTAAGCAACGCTATAGTTAGGAAACGAGTACTAGGTACGGATGGCAGGTCAATAAATGAAGTATTGAAATTTCATCAGTTGAGATGGTTAAGACATGTGTTGCGTATGACCAACCGCTGACTGCCTCGTTGAGCTATGTTTTGCGATATAGGAGTAGGTTGGAAGAAAGCTAGGTGCAGCCAAACCAAAACATGGCACAAATACATGAAGTCACTGACAAGTGGACTGAGTCGTGTCCGTAGGTGTTCACTACCTGGTTGGGACTTATCAGATACTCCTGGGGACGTTAGATCCCCAGGACTCACTTGGAAAGTCCTAATTTTGTGATTTTATTTTGAAATTTAGAATTTTATGTTTTCGCACCTTCAGCCTACATTTCCCACTCGGAAAATCCTTGACTGTCATTGGTTGACGGGTTTTTTTAGTACGCTATTTTGTGACTCTCACCAAGGGCGTTTCTATCATTGTATAAATAAGCTTGATTTGTGCGCTTAGAAACCTCGTATTTTCTGGGTGCTTGTAGAATACATTCTCTATGCCTTATCATGACCTCTCTTGATTTAGTTAGCTGGGGGGCTAGGACAAACGGATTAGAATAACCTATCGTGTCACGGAATCATTGATCTTTATTCCGTTCACTGAGTAAGGTGAACTCGTATTAGTTTCGAGCATACTAGTTACTTACTCAAAAAGAAAAAAGCACCTTATAAGCATAAACCAAATAAAGAGAGAAACACAACTATAAACAAAACAAAAAAACCAATTACCTGAAATGATTTGAATTCTTCCAAAACAATTGATAAATATTCATTTGTTGTCAGTAATAAATCTAAACACATTCGTATAGACAATGGTTCATTATGATTTGTATATAGTTTATAATGTAACGAGGTTTCAATGGTACGAGCTAAACAAACTACAGTTAATGAGAATGGAAATTTTTGATTTATAAGTGGCGATGATGATGATGATGCTTGTGAACAATGTTGTTGCTGCTGTTGTTGATTATTGTAATATAATGTCGCATCAGGTAGAAGATGTTCTTCATTAGGTCGCCATTTTTTCAATGAATTTAATTTATTCGCCCAAAGTAACAGTGATGATGATGATGATGATGATGATGATGACGATGATGACAACGATGATTGAGAATATGATGCAAGTAGTTTGTATAGTTGAAATTCATTGGTATCAATCAATTGATACGATAGCATGTTCATACTACTACTATTATTAGTATTAGTAGTAGTAGAAGTATTTGTAACACCAATAGTATCAGTAACTGTTGTTACATGACATGAAGAATCGAATGGATTACATAATAAAACATCCAGACATTGATTTAAAAGTTTATTATAAATTGAATGAATTTTCTCATCCTATATATAGGGAAGGAAAAAAAAATGATTAGAGTACAAATACATCTTTTAGTTCTGTTGTATGTTAGTAAAGAATCAATTTGGTTAATTTGAACGCGAATATATTATTAAGTTATTAAAAACGATGTTAATCAGTCAGTTAGTTGCAATGTAGAAGAACATAGTATGTATGCGTATCGATTCAAGTCGTCATACTTTATTATCATGGGGAGATGAAATGATCAAGCAGAAGAATCGTAGAGTAGAGGTAGAGGTAGTAAAAGTATCACTGGTAACAGAAAAAAAAATTGCGCATCAAAGAAACAGTTCAAGAAGATATAGGTTAATGAGATAAGGATTTTTTTGAGAAAGTTACAAGCTTAGAAGAAGACAGAGAGTAGATGCACTTGCACTGTTGCAAACAAATTTGGGCTATATCAAAGTCTCTAAACATTGGTCATGATAATTACGAAGATCTTAAGTAGACAATTTACACTTATTAGCATGTATTTGTGCCATGTTTTGGTTTGGCCGCACCTAACTTTCTTCCAACCTACTCCTATACCACAAAACATAGCTCGACGAGGCAGTCGATGGTTGGGCATATGTAACGCATGTCCCAACCACCTCAACTGATAAAGTTTCAATACTTCATGTATTGATTTGCCATCCCTACCTTGTACTCGTTTCCTAACTATAGCATTGCCGACTCAGCTGTCCCAGGATATACGAACAATGCTTCGGAGATACCTATGATCGAAAACCTACGCATATATTCTACTCTTACTGGCCATGTTTCACAGCCATAAAATAGGACAGAGCGAACTGCTGCACAGTAGACTCATCCTTTGGTTAGCAGACGGATATCTCACCGACGTCATAAATGACGCATGTTGGAAAAAGCCAATCGAGTCGTCTGTATCCACACTGAGATTTCGTCAGTCACCAGACAACCTAAACTGATGTACGCGCACATACGAAGTTCTACACATTGTAACTGACTGACTGATATACTAAAAAAACACTTGTGGCCGAAGGTTTTTCTCCAAGCGATTCAACTCAGATACACATATATAAAGCCAAAGACACTGACTGATCAAATACAGTTTTGAATATCAACAACACGAATTTACAAACCCTCGGCTGTAATACAATTTCCAAGATTAATAACTTTTAACAATGCTGCTTTTTAGTAAAACAAAACTACAATATGTAAAAAACAATGAAACTTATTGACTGTTTGAAATTTTTGATCACATGTACACAAGTATGTATGCATACGAGAAATATATTTCACAAGAATGAATATGACTAACTTTATATTAAAAAAAAATAGAAGATATACTAGCCAACAAAACATTATCAATATTCTTGATCACATGCAAACAGTTGATTTGTGTTTGTGTACGTGTGTGTACTATCTTGACATTGATACACGTGTGAATTCTATGGGTTTCAATGTTGTTGTTACTATTTCCCTAAACTATTTTCTTTTGTCTCTTTTAACTATTTGTGTTAGATTGACAGTCAAAACAAAAAGACCAATTTGAAAAACGAGTATTTGTAAACATTCAAAAAGATGCACGTTAAAATAATGTGGAAAAAAAAAAACAAACGAGATTTTTATATTAATACTTGTGTCTATTTTGAAATAAATATTCATTTGTCAATGGAAATTGGGCGGTATTCACACAAAAGTATAGAACACATTTTTATGAATGTATGATGAAAAGTCTGCTTTCACAAAAAAAAATACCAAAGTTTTTGTAATTTGGTAACAAATTGTTCTTGCAATTACCCTTAGTCATGTGATCTCGTGTGTCTATTTGGAAGTGTTTTTGGGTGTGTACGTGTGTGTGTGTGTTGGCTTCACAACAAAGCAACAGTTTATGAGACAGTTTCGAGTGACCGAAAAAGTAAAGGTCATTAAGTTTATTAGAATTAAGTATTTGCACTGGAAATGTAGTGATAAATTAATTTTTATTTGTATATTTGAAATTAGACATTTCATTCTACTTCAGTGTGTAATGCTAGGACATATTCTCAGAGCGGATACAGAAAGCTCGATTGGCTTTTACCAACCTGCGTCACTTATGGCGTAGGCGAGATATCCGTTTGCTAACCAAAGGACGAGTGTACTGTGCAGCCGTTCGCTCCGTTCTCTTATATGGCTGTGAAACATGGCCGTTAAGAGTAGATGTTCGAAGGTTACTAGTATTCGATCATAGATGTTTAAGAAGGATTGTTCGTATATCGTGGGACAACCGAGTAAGCAATGCTGTAGTTAGGAAATGGGTGCTAGGTAAGGATGGCCAGTTAATATATGAAATAGTGAAACTTCATCAGTTGAGGTGGTTGGGATACGTGTTACGTATGCTCAACCATCGACTACCCCGTCGAGCTATGTTTTGTGGCGTAGGAGTAGGGTGGAAGAAATCTAGGGGCGACCAAACCGAAAACATAACACAAATCAATGAAGTCACTGACAAGTGGACTGAGTCATCTTGATAAATGTAGGCTAACTGGTTGGGGTCCGCGAGATGATAGTAACCGATGATCAGAGACGTTGAACGACATGACTCCAAGTCGTTTGCAATGGTGCAGGTGCATTCACTCTTTGTGTTCTCTCAAATTCAGAGTTCTTCATCATCTCTATGTTTCTCGTTCTAAATATATTTCACTGAATTATACTTCTCGACTCATATCTTCGAACCCTAATCTTCAACACTACTGCTAATACTTCTATTATCGCTACCATTATGAGATCTGAACTGACAGTTGCGTCTCTGTGCTGATGGAGTATGACAACCTGAACTTATGTACTTACGTACGAAGTTCTACGTCGTAACTGACTGACTGACTGTAATGCTGGGATTATTTTGTCGTATTTAGAAATCACCCTTTTAGGCTGAGGAGTTACATCAATATGTCGGGAAGTCAGGGTCTCTTACCTGTTTACTTACACCAGTTGCCATAATTCGTCTGTCTGAAAATATGAATAGTAATACTATTTCGAAGACTGAATGATTTGAAAGTATAAGGAAAATAATATGATGAAACAAAATGTAAGAGAGACAATTTATCCACTGAAAGAGTATGAGAAACATGAAGAATAAATGAGAAAGATGAAGTAGTAACAACAAATAACTAAATATTAAAAACATTCAGATAAAGTATCAGTACGCAATTGAATGTGTGTGAAAAATGAGGTATTAGAATCATGATAGTGATGCAACGCTTTTGCACACAAAACTCAGGTTTGAAATGATGAATTGAATTGTTATGTCGTTCATATGAACCTATGCGTGGACAACCTTTTGAGTAACCAATATGCAATAAGGACGAGAGACTTGTTACCCCGTCGAATCCTGTGCAACGGATCCTCATCCTAAGGAGCAACTTAATCCCGAAATTCCAGGCTGCGGGTCAAGTTGGCCTAGTGAGGAGGACGGAGATCCACTTAGTTAACATACAGATTAGGCGAAAGGTATCCAAAAGGCTGAGCTTACCCCATGAATCGGTGAATAGTCATATTCAAGCCCAGATAAGTGATGGTGGCTTGCATATGATAGTCCCTCTTGGACGATTTAAACGATCCAAGGCCCTGGCCAACGATGTGTTACGACCGATGCAGTACTCTAGTGCCCTTCAGGTATGTAAGTAGTAAGACAGAGGAGCTATAACAATAGCTAGGACCTTAGTGTCGGACACCACTGATGTATATGCGACGTGGAAAAGGGAACTTTCCAGTACTCTGGGTGGTAAGGACCTATCAGTATAAGAGCGCTCACCTATGGGTTACAACTTCCCCTGTATTTTGAAGAAGGCGATGCAGATCAGAGATCATACTCTATTTACTAAAGCGAGAAGGGTTGGAGAGCTGCAGAACAGGTGACTTGAACTGTTCTGCAGGGTGAGGGACGATGGAGTCTTTAATTCATATCCAGCAGGTTTGTAAGCGTCCAGCGGTTACCAATCGAGTGGTTTTGAAACTGAAAGGTTTTCTACGGAGGTTAGAGCCTTCAGTGGTGAGAGAAGTCAATATTTCTAACGAGTGGAATTACTTAGGGCCAAATATCATCGCCTTGAAAGGTAATGTAGCATGAATACTAGATGGCATTATCTGCTTGAACGACAGAATAAGAGCGTCCTGGAACGCGAAGGTTAGGAATTATAAGCGACCGGAATTGCTATCTAACGACTATTCGGTTCAGTATCTGCCAGTGGTTATAACCATGCAAGGGCTTGATAGATGAGAGGTTTAAGACGAATCCACGTAAACTAAAACTGAGAGGAGTGGACGTATGGGCAACACCATGAATGCGTTCCGCGATTCGCCTTCACGAGTGTAGTCGTATCTGCTTAAAGGCGATCCTAGCTTATCAATCAGGGGAACAGCCCTACAAAAATTGTGTTATACGTTACTCGACCCTATATAGTCTCTGAGCCTTTTAGGATTACTGCCGGCCCCAAGCCAGGAGAAAGGAGGAGGGTTGGGTATGTGGTTAGCGACGCCACCATGTAGAAAAAAATCGCTAGAGAAACGCTAACCAGAACAAATAATTTAATACAGGTCGGCGGCTTATGCTCTAATAGGGATAACAGGCGTAAGTAAGTAATGTAGTCTCTATCTGGTTCTATAACTACGAGTGTAATGCTCCTGCCAATTCTGTCCGTTATAAACTGTTATACCAGCGAAATTAGAGGAATGGTAACTTTCAGGACTAATTTATGAATTATTATTATTATTGTGTAAAGTTTATTGTATAATCATTCAGTAACTAGGTTATTATATATACATGTTTCTTTTATTATGATGTTCCGATTAACTCATTAACTAAACTGTTGTATGATTTACTATTCCTGACCTATTGCTAGCATATTATTTACAGTCACTTTTTTTGGCTTGCTCATATATAAATGTATTTTCTCATTTTATGGTGTGATATGGTCTGGTATATTTGATAGATAAAATATAATGAATTTTGTGGAGTCTGACTATGAACTTCTGAACTACGATAGTAGAATAGTGACACTGACACCTCTGCTCCGAACTAAAAGTTCTACGATATATATATAGCTGAGATGTTGTATACTGCAGATGAAACAACTGTTCACTACTGTCAGATACTTTTCACTGATTGTTTAATTAAGATCAGTTTGTGATAGTGTTTTGTTTCACAGCAAATGAATCATGTGTATTCAGTAAAAAAGAAACAAGTGTTTTCCGTTTATCATTGGATAATATTATTAGTTATGAAAAAAAAGCCTAACTAGAGCTCGTGAAGAGCAGATTACAGAAAACCAGGCTGGTTTCAGACGTGGACGTGACTGTATAGACCACATCTTCACATTACGACAGGTCCTGGAACACAGACACACATTTAGGCGTCCTAAAATAGTTGTCTTCCTAGACCTTAAGGCGGTATTTGACTCGGTGGATCGTGAGGTTCTGTGGCAGTATCTCTCATTGAAAGGTGTACCAAAGAAGTACATTAACCTTATACAAGCTCTCTACTCGAACACCACTGGTCGAGTGAGAGCTTATAGCGAACTGTCATCGGAATTATTTACTTCAAGTGGTGTCCGTCAGCGATATCCACTTTCCCCATTCTTGTTTAACTTTGTCATAGACATACTTTTGGAGTTAACATTATTCTCGTCAGATTTCTTAGGGGTAGACCTTCTACGAGGAGGATCGCTTAATGACCCGGAATATGCCGATGACACAGTTCTATTCACTGAAGACGCCGACAAAATGCAGTGTCTCCTGACTACCCTAAGCAACAATGTAAGCATGTTCGGGATGCGGTTCTCCTCGTCGAAATACAAAATGTTGTTTCGGGATTGGCTTGTATCGGCACCTGAACTGGTGATAGGGAGTGAAGCAGCTGAGCATGTTGACGGCTTCACTTATTTGGGCAGTCTCATCAGTGCTGATGGCCTGGCTTATGGAGAAATCGCATCACGGATACAGAAGGTTCAATTAGCTTTTGCCAACCTGCGTCACTTATGGCGTAGGCGAGATATCCGTTTGCTAACCAAAGGACGAGTGTACTGTGCAGCAGTTCGCTCCGTCCTACTATATGGATGCGAAACATGGCCAGTCAGAGTAGAAGATATTCGTAGGTTACTGGTTTTCGATCATAGGTGTCTCTGAAGCATTACTCGTGCATCATGGGACAACCGAGCAAGCAATGCTGTTGTTAGGAAAGAGGTCCTAGGTAAGGGTGACAGATCAATAGATGAAGTATTGAAACTTCACCAGTCTAGGTAATTTTCACATGTGTTACGAATACCTACCGAGTCGAGCTATGTTTTGCGATGTAGGAATAGGTTGGAAGAAATCTAGGTGCGGCCAAAACCAAAACGTGATAAAAATCCATGAAGTCACTGACAAGTGGATTGAGTCATGTCGGCAGGTATCGGCTACCTGATCGGGGCCCGTGAGATGATAATAATCGATGGGTAGAGACTCTGAATGAAATAGCTTCGAACCGTTTGTAATGACGCAGGTGCATTCTCAAGTCCTAAACTTCTGAATTCCTCATCACCTCTATCTTTCTCTTTCTAAATTTCTCTCACTGAATTATACTCCTTGAATAATAATTTCGAACCCTAATCTCTCCGATTACTGCTAATACTGTCACTACCACTACTACTATGAGATTTGAATTGACAATTACATCTTTGTGCTAATTGTGGTATGACAACTTGAACTGATGTACTTACGTACAAAGTTCTACGTTGCTGTTGATGATGAAAAAAAAAAGAAAATAGATATATACATTACTTAGTACTTACTTGATTATTATTATTAACACAATCTAACCACATACCACGTAAACTGCATACAAACATATTCATTAATACTGACCACCAATCATTGGTAATTTTTAATTTATTCATATACAATTTTAAATCATTGAAACATTCAAATTTATTCCCTTTCTGTTTCATCGTCATCATTGTTGTCATCATCGTTGATAGATTTGATTTACGCTGTTGTTGATGAGTAAGATTAGTCGACTGAAGAAATACACGTTGTAAACAACAAGCGGCTAAATTTAAAACATTGAACCAATTGGTGTATTTTGTTAAAATATCCAAACTATCATTGTCAGATATCTGAATGAAATGAAAATGAGATAGAAAAATATAAATTTATGTATTAAAAGAAAATTGATAACACTAAACGGAGCATCTTCAAATTCCAAGGTTTTTAACTTGTGCATGCGTATGTTATTCATTAAAATGTAGACCCTTGGGGTCTACTGCTGGTCCCCCAAGCCCGGATAAAGGAGGAGGGTT